GGGGGGGGGGGGGGTGTTCTAGGATAGTAAGAAGGAAAGGATGGGATCATCTCCCTATATCTAAGTAAGAACTCTTTTTTTTTTGGCTTGTAAAGATGAGCTGGGTCATTTTACAGGTTAAATGCTACATGAAGCAGTTGTTGTCTGGAATCGAGCATTGTCATTCTCGAGGTGTAATGCACCGGGATATCAAAGGTGCAAATCTTCTGGTAAATAATGATGGAATTTTGAAGGTTGCAGATTTTGGATTGGCGAACTTCTGTAACCTTGGGCGGAAGCAACCACTAACCAGCCGAGTTGTCACTTTATGGTATCGTCCTCCAGAGCTTTTGTTGGGTTCCACAGAGTATGGAGCTTCTGTGGATCTTTGGAGTGTCGGATGTGTGTTTGGTGAACTTCTTACTGGTAAACCTATTCTTCAGGGGAGAACTGAGGTACCTCCTTCAATGATTAGATCTCTTAGTACACTGAAGTGGTTAAAACTATCAATCTTTTTAGACAAACTTGCTATTGATATGAAAGTAATTCTTTGCTCAATTACTTGTTCTCGCTATTCTATTTGAATAGTAGATTAATGACATATTTATCTGGAAACCTTATAGTGTAAAAAGTTTAATGCTCAATACTTTTCAATCCTCCTCTTTCCTTAATAATGCAATGTACCTATCTAGTTCAAACTTCACAGTTAGGTTTCTCATTGAACTGATCCATGACTAGCCAATTAAGCTGAATACTTTTTAGTATTTTGCTGTATGAGTAACAGCAGAACAATCTATTTCGTGCTACAGGTTGAACAGCTGCATAAAATTTTTAAGCTCTGTGGATCTCCACCAGATGATTACTGGAAGAAATCTAAACTTCCTCACGCAACTCTATTTAAGCCACAGCATCCTTATGAGAGCTGTCTTTGGGACACCTTTAAAGATCTAACCAAAAGTGCAGTCTCACTCATAGAGACTCTTCTTTCAGTGGAGCCACATAAACGTGGAACTGCCTCTTCTGCCCTTGTATCTGAGGTATTGTTTTCAATCTCTTTTTTGTTTATATAGTAATGATAGTTTCTCTTATCGTATCATACACTTTAGTTTCTTTAGCCTGTAAGAGTTTTTTTATGGTTTGGTTCTGCTCATGTTAATTGTTAACAACAACAAAAAACCCAGTGTAATCCCACAGGTGGGGTTTTGGGAGGGTAATGTGTACGCATACCTTACCCTACCTTGTGAAGGTAGAGTGGTTGTTGTCATGTTAATTGTTAATGAATGATACAAACAAGTTTGTCTGTATCTTATAAATTGAATTATTTTAAAAAAATAATTCCATATTCCTTTATAAACATGTGTACTGTTTTTGCAATGATTTTCTTATATCTTACAAATGCATAAATTTCAAAATCTCTAATTCCGTAACTTCCAAATTCTATCTTTAGTACTTCAAGACAAAGCCTCATGCTTGTGATCCTTCAAGCCTGCCAAAGTATCCACCAAGCAAAGAGATTGACGCCAAACATTGCGAAGAAGCAAAAAGGTAAGAACCTGATAATAATTATGCATGAAAGAGATTTTGTTTTAATAATTTTCTGGTTATATTTACATTTAACAGATAATTACAATGGTTGGACAAAAAGGATATACCCTGTCCAAGATCCCTTTGTATCCCGTTCCCCCAAAAAACTAACCCTAAACAAAAAGACAAGGAGGAAGCATTCCATCCGTCATTTTATAAGGGTGTGATTATGCTAAAATCAGGTCAATAATGTTCTTAAAACCATGACAATTAAAGAGAAGTATAAGCTTGTCTGACTAAAATGGCGAAACTGGTTTTGATAGATTGATTACTTCCACAGTATGATAATGTTTAAGGTCACTATCTTGCTCCTTAGCGCTGGCACAAGCTCTTGCATTTGCTACATTTTCTATTTTGCATAGATCTTCCTGAGTTACAATTTAATTATATGAGAATGTTCAGGAAGAAGCCTAGTGGAAGAGCCCGTGGACCCGAGACAACCAGAAAGTCAACTAGAAAACATAATGCAACCAATAAACTGGCACCTGAAGAGGTCCTCTCTCTCTCTCTCTCTCTCTCTCTCTCTCTCTCTCTCTCTCTACCTATATACAGCTTGGATTCTTCTTCCTTCCTGAAAAAAATTATAAGTTCATTTTTTCTTTACCTTGCATATTATAGGCAGAGAGAACTAAATGAAACTTTTCTCTGCAGAAGTTACCGGTCCAAAACCAAGGTGTTAATAAAACTAACGGCAGTAGTCTGTGTGCTCAGAGAGAAGGAGATGTTATTATAGGTCTCACGCGACCTAAACCATCAGTTGATTCAATGGGCGAGGCTTCCCACATCAAGAATGCATCTCAAGGCGATGTCCCCTTTTCAGGTCCTCTTCAAGTTTCTGGATCAAGTGGTTTTGCATGGGCGAAAAGACGCTTTGATGATTCGTCAATGAGATCGAGGAGTAAATCAAGTTCAAGAAGCCTAAAGTTTGAACCTTCAGGTGCACTTCATATTAAAAATAGCCTGGAGCTAAAAAGACAAGACAGTGAAGCTACAAAAGGAAGTCGGACCAATTCCAAGGGCCGTGACACCTATGAATTCACCAAGCATGCAATGCAACAACATTGGAGCCAATTAGAGCAAACAGACTCGTTTGATGCTTCTGATGGCTACCACTCACAAGAACTGTCTCTAGCTCTCTATCTTAAAGAGGAAACAGCTTTCAAGAGGATCAATGTGGTTAGTCAAAAAATTTTCTCAGGATTCAAATATAATAAATGCACATTTTCTCTTCGCATTGTTAACATCTGCTTAAAATAAAGTAATTGGTCGCTGTGCTTTAGAATAATTAAAACGCCGTGTTTGTGACTGAAACATTCAGAGAGTATAGCCAATTACAAACCTCTGGAATCTGGAGTCAAGAAATGGAGTTGCATATTTTATCATTGGGCTTATATTGATCATTTTGGAATTGTACTTTGAACAGATTCAGGATCAAGGGGACAAAGTTGAATTCTCGGGACCCTTGCTATCTCAATCACACAGGGTTGACGAACTCCTAGAGAGACATGAGCGCCAGATCCGCCAAGCTGTTCGACGATCATGGTTCCAAAGAGGTAAAATGTTTCACTATTTAGGAAAAACCTTGTAAATCACTACATGTATAATATATTAGGCCTCTGAATTTATATGTTTCGGTAGAGTGACCTGCAATTAACTTTCTTGCTACTGTCGTTAGATTTGGAAGTTAACAAGAGTAATAGCAAATTGCTAACAATGATTTTTAAATACATTTCAATACATTGCTAATCAGTCGTTCATATATTGTTGATGGTCATCACATCTCTTCATTTATGAATTTCGTGGAGTGTTACTCCATTCATACAGTTGGAAATCAGCTTGCCTTTGCTTAGCTATAATCACCAACCACCCGACTGAGCTTATTTTTATTTTCCTTTTCAGTGAGGAAAAATGGAAACTGATTGCGTGGTGCTCCCAATTCACACGGTATACAAAAAAGAAATCAGGTACATGAATTTTGACGGTGAGGATTCATAACAAACAACAAGGTCATATACTCTGAAGTAGCCGAATCCAGGGAGCTGTTGATCTCGATCCCTAGCAGTGTGCTGGTGACTAACAACGCTAAAAACCAACTCTATTCAAGAGCTGAAAGTGCTTCAAGATAATAAGGGCTGTTCATTCTTCATTCTTTCAATTTGTTAAGGCCCTGAAAACAATTTCCCCGAGTATTTCTCGGCAAATGTATAGTTCTTAGCTGTCAAAAATCACTCACTCATGTTTACCCTTCATCACAAGAGTAGTGAGTGTATTTTGTACCTTGCTGATACATATACTTGTTTCAAGGCGGCCGAGTTAAGAGTCCCGGCATGTCATGTTTAGAGAACACCATTGTCATTGTCCAAGAAAATCCAAGTAGAACTAGGAAAAAGATGCATATTTTCCCCCCAAAATAGTAGAGATATAGAATGTGATTATATGAGAGCTGATAATATTAGGTATGTAATGTTGATAGGACCACATGACCACATTCTGCTGGAGGATAATGATGTGTGTGATATGATATCAAATCATTGCTATGTGAGTTTTGATAATTGGGCTCCACCATTGTGATATTTTTTGGAAAATGGTCCAATGGGCTATTGTCTCAAGGACCGTTTGGTTTTCACTTTGGGCGACACTAATTATGCATTCTGTAATTTTGATCACGCGGATGCCAAACTATGTCCAGAAAGAAATTTTTTTTTTATCGAAAGGAGAAAAACAGTGGTGCGTATTCAACTCGAGGTGATAATCGAAATACAAAAAAGAAATATTGAATAAAAAAGAAAAAAGTATAACAACAAACTCAGTGTAATCCCACAAAGTGAGGTCTGGGGATGGGCAGAGTGTACGCAAATCTTATCCATACCCTGTGAAGGTAGAGAGACTGGTAATAATACGAGAATACAAAGCTAAGTCATAGCAAGATAAGATGATAGAATAACCGAAGCGAAAGAAATAATATATAGTAAAAGAAATATGCAGATAAGAAAGATACGAAAATACGAGATTAATACATTCTTTTGTCTTTTTGGCTCCAGGTTATTTTTAAATATAAAAGTATATCATTTCTTTGGGATAGACTAAAAATAAAATAAAAGTATGTCACATGAATTGTAACAGAAATACTTTCTAAAAGTTTCTTACTTTGGTAGCACAAAGCATCATCTAAATATTATTGTCAATCTTTGCTATCAGAACTACCATCAAAACACAATCTCCTCCCTCCTATCCCTTCCCCCCCATTAAATATCCTACTAATATGACCTACACTTATGCCCAACACCGCAAAATTATTAAAATTTTAAGTAAGACATTTTTGACATACATACAATATCTTACACCAAAGAATATTTAACTTCGTATATACACCAACTAAGATATCAATTCATAAAATTGAATTTGGACAGGTATTTTCATTATAAAGGGTCAGCATTTGTAACATACAAAAATGTTTTTCTCCTCCCACATTTCTAACGGTTGGGTGTAATGACCCAACCGGTCATTTTAACTTTTAGAAATTCATTCCCTAAAATTAAACTTTTCGTATGTGCTTTTAATGATTTATGACTTGCGGGGATGGTTGGTTCGAAATTTAGAAGTATTTGGGTTGAAACCAGAACACTTGGTTCCTTAAGTTAACTTTAAATGGAAAAGTTTGACTTCGGTCAACATTTTGAGAAAACGACCCCGGAATCAGGATTTTACAATTCCAATAGGTTCGTATGATGATTTTGGACTTGGGCGTATGTCCGAAACGGATTTTGGATAACCTAGGAGCGTTTTGACGCTTAATAGTAAAAATCAACTATTTGAAGGTTTAAAATTCTTTAAATTTGGTTTGGATTAGGATTTTGAGTAATTGAAGTCCGTTTGGAATTCCGAGTTTGGGAATAGTTCCGTATAGTGATTTAAGACTTGCACGCAAAAATTCGTGCAATTCTGAGTAGTTTAAGTATATTTCGGCACATTGGAAGTAAATTGAAAAACTTGAAATTCTTAAGTTTGAATCAATTTGATTTAGGGTATGATTCTTAGATTTGATATCGTTTTACGCGTTCTGAGAGTTCGAGCGAGTCCGTTTTATGATTTTAAACTTGTTGGTATGTTCTGCCGGGGTCCCGGGGGCCCCTAGTGTCAATCGGACGAGGCTCAGACCAAGTTGGAAGTTGGGAGCCAAAACTGAAGCTCCCAGCTACTGTCAGAATCGCACATGCGCTTGGCCAGTTGCAGGTGCGATATTCGCAGATGTTACAGAAGCTCGCAGGCGCGGCACTCGCAGATGCGAGATGTCTTCGCAGAAGCGGAAAAGGGAAGGGGAGGCCATCGCCGCAATTGCAGAATTTTGGCGCACCTGCGATCGCGCATGTGCGAAGCAGTGTGCGCAGAAGCGAGTTTGGCCAAGGCTAGTGAGACTCGCACCTGCGAGAATTTTTCCGCAAGTGCGAAAGCCGCAGGTGCGGTACACTGTCTACACATGCGAAAGACCTGTTTGGCAGAAAGCTTAAAAGAACGGGAATTCACCATTTTTACCCATTTTCTTCTATTCTTAGGCGATTTTGGAGCTTTTTGAGAGGAGATTTCAACTAACAACTTTGAGGTAAGTTAATTCTACACCCTTTGAGTTAAATACATAGATTATAACTAGTAAATCTTAGAAATCAAAGATTTAGATGAAAAATCTAAATTTTTATAAAAGTGAGATTTTAACCACGAAAATAGTTATGGAATTGGGTAGAAATTATATATTCAAGTTATTGAGATTATGGGTAATGTTTTCATCCGAAAATTTCCAGAATCCGAGTACGTGGGCCCGGGGTGAATTTTAGAAATTTTACCATTTTGGATAGGGTAATTTATTTAATAGATGAATTTTGAACATATATTAATTATTTTATATAACTTTTGGATAGTTTCGGATTTTTCGGCATTGAATCGAGAATTTTACGCGATGCGATAATCGGAAAGTGGACTTTGAGACGAGGTAAGTCTCTTGTTTAATCTTGTGAGGGGAAAATTACCCCATAGGGAATAAATTGAATAATTATTGATAACTGCGGGGGCTACGTACGTACNGACGAGAGTCCGTGCGTAGCTACTATTAATGCTAAAGTCCGGGTAATTTAGGACTCAAAGTATGAATTACTTGTGTAAATTGTATTCCTTGTTTAATTAATATTATTTGATATATATATATTGTGAATTGTTAGATAAAAATATTAAAGGATGAAAAATTTATATGCTTGATTTTCTGTTTAAATTAATTAATTGTTAAAAAAAAATTATTCTTCTTCCCAAATTTATCTTATAATAAATATACTCTCCTTCCGGAGGTACATATAAAAATGTCCTCCTTTATTGTGGAGCGGGCCGAACGTCTCGGTAGGATAGATGCATCTATGGATCGCGCCGCACGTCCCTCGATAGTGTACAAGACACTCTGGATCGGGTCGTACGTCCTCGGCAGAAATCGTGCTTAATAATAATAATAATTATACGATATTTTAATAATTTATTTCAGCTTGCGAAGTTAATTGATAAATTGAGAAATCCTTGGAATTTAATGAGTTATTATTCTTGTTTGTTAAAGAATTAATTGTTATTCGTGTAAATAATAATTAATTGATAAATTGGAAAATTAATTGAATTGAAGGAATTTAATTAATATATTGAGAATTGTTGCATTTGAAGGAATTTGATTATTTTCGCTGATTAAATAAATTATTTTAAATTCTATAAATCATGCTTATTTAAATATCATAGTTGTATTTCAATTATTATTATTGACCCGTAGTGAGTGTCAAAGTCGGCCATCTCGTCTCTACCACTTCGAGATTAGCCTTGATACTTATTGGGCACACGTTGTTTACGTACTCATACTACACTTGCTGCACTTTTTGTGCAGGAACTGAGGCAAATACTAGTGGGAGACCTATCGTCTTACACCCACGTTATCAAGGGGCATAGTGGTGAGCTGTTTTTCTGATCCGTTCTGCAGCTACTAGTGTCTCTCTTTGTATTTTTTTTTCATCCTGTCTATTTTTATTTCAGACAGTATTTGAGGTTTTGTATAATCTACTAGATGCTCATACACTTGTTACATCAGGTCTTGGCACACACATTGGTAGAGTTTGGATTTTATTAATTCTCTTGGTTTTAAATTTTGTCAATGAATGCTTAATTTATTAAGTTGACTTGCCTAGTCGTAGTGTTAGGCGCCATCACGACCTATGAGTGAAATTGAGTCGTGATATTTGGGGGTAAATGGAAGTTAAAGTAAAGTGAGTCATAGAACGATTACAGGTCTCTACAAAGTTGTCGTCTTCTTTTTTAACCCTCCTCAAGCTTAATGATGATGTTGATAAAACCTAATTGTAAGTTAGCACTATTGTATTTTAGATTTTCTATTTGATTTTTACGTTGGGATTTCAACTAATCCAAATTAGCACAGTATAAAGTATATTAAAGAAAGAATATGATTTTTTTTCATTCCGTAGGCTTCATAAGTACTTCACTTCCCTGGGAGTTGGAAGAAGCAAATGCATAGCGCTCACCAATTAATTCCCCCTTTTACTTCAACCAAAATGCGTAATAAAGAGCCATATACACTTGATAAATACGGCATAAAAGAGTTTCTGAAAATACCGTAACTATGTGATATGTAAAACGAAGGAGTTGATTAAGTGGAGTTGCAATTTTCTGAACGACTTTAATTTACTTGCAGTGAATGTGAATTGATTACAAAACAAACAATCTTTTATTAGTTTTGTTAACAAAGTTTGATCTATTCAAATGAAGTTTATAAAAATATTGCTTATTTCCTTGCAATGCTTCAGTTATCCAACCTAGAGTATGTCGAAATAAAAGGAAAATTCCTTTCTTTTTTTAATAGATGTTCTAAGTATCAGTAATAATAGAAATTGCAACGAGAAGAATAATAGAAAAGGGAATTCACAAGGCAAAATTGATAATTAGGAAACACATGATGCCAGCGACATATACTTCTCTAATGTTCTGGAAATTTGAAAAGATTACCACCTTTTGTCAAATCTTTACTACTAATAATCTACCATCGCAATTCTCCTTTTCTCTAATTTAATCTTATACCATCATCATCTTCCACAATATTCCACTAATTGTGTTTGTAATCTACTTATTAGCATATGACAAAACACGTGGTGGGTCCACTCATTCTACCCAACCCCACCTTCAGCTTTGCATTTTACTATGATTATTATTGGACTATATATTAGCAGAGACAAGATTTTCATTATTGAAAGTCAAAATATACAAAAATAAATATAATAAAATTCAATATATAATTTATATAAATATATAAAATTAGCTAAACAATATAATTTTTATGCGAACCCACTATCATTAACCATTTCACTTTCTCTTTTACAGCCGTAAATTACTTGTAAGTTGTAACACAGTAAATTAATGCACTTTCAATTATATATTATGGGAATTTTAGTTTTACGAGAGCCACCCTATATGCATTCCATGCATCTTTGAGTATAATACTTAGAAAAGTGATAGATTGGTAATGTCTCTTTCACAACATGGCAACAAATTATGGACACATGACTTTGTTGTAAATTCCACTACATTTTTGTTTGATCTTCACATCTACCCCAAACCTAGCGTACGTTCCTGTCTTTTTCTCCTCCCTTCTTGAAATATCAAAGCCTAATCATTTTCTGCACCTCAATTGTCGCTCAAAAAGAAAATTAAACGTATTGTAACCCTTTTGAGTTTTGACTTACTCGCATGTCCTAATTATATGACATTATTTGATATTCAAATCGTGGCATGGTTGACATTTTTCCACTATTATTATGTTGGAGTATATTTTTTGCAATTTTCAAGAATTTTAATCCATTTTGCTATCTTATTTATACTTTTATGTGATGATTTTACTATTAGCTAATTATTTCAAAAATTAACTTGATATTTCTTGGATGTCAACCTTGCTGACCGTCTCAAATATCATGATCAGGAATTTTTATAAAATACTACGATATAGAATCTAATTACCATACGTAACTATAGTTTGTCTAATTGCCTTTCGTAACTATAGCTTGTATTCAGACGCGTAACGAATGCAACATGTGTCAATTGTATTCTTTCGCACACCGAATACAACATGTATCAACTGTATTTGTTCGCGCCGTGAATACAACCAAGGCGAAATACATGGGTATATACAAAGGATACAACCTGTATCGACTATATTCGTCTACGCAATGAGTACAACCAAGATAAAATACAGAAAAATAGAATGCTCTCATCGAGAGTCATGCTCAAGACCTCCGCTTATTAAGCGGGTGCTCTGAACAAGTAGGCTAGGAGAGCTTATTGCTCTATTCCTTCAATTTAAAACAGTTGATCTTTTGTTTTAGTACTACAGATGAATTTGCTATAAAATTCAAAGCTACGAATAATAATTTTTTTAAAATATAACTATATACAAATTATAAATATAATATATATATGTTTACAGTGTAGCGTAATTTTTTCCTTTTATTAATGGTTGGAACCGAGGAATATTTGTGTATTGTTATCCGAAGTTTCGCATAGCACTTCCATTTCTCTTGTTTTATTTTATCTTCTCATTTGTTTCTTTTATATGCTTAAAAAAATACCGCCAGGTATTAACAAACATGCTTCACGCTGTCGCCAAAAAAAAAAAAAAAAAAAAAAAAAACTAAAGAAAAGATTTATCACGTGACAGAGCATTTAGATCAGAGAATTCTTTTTATAAATTTACCTTTGGCGTGGGGATTCTATAATACTTTGGAACTGCTAGTTTCGATAGTCGTGCTAGCTACTTTGATTTCTTTGGTGTTGTATTTGTTTTTTTTTTTGGTTAATTATTCTGACTGATATGTTGTAATTTAAACAGACAAGCTAATATTGTATGTCAAGTTAGTCATTGTTGAAATATATTTGTAATATTATTATTACATTATATTGTCAGTTTCTTTTGGTAATTGTTATTATGTCAACTTAAATTGTACGAAACTAAATTATTCGAGTTCAATTACAATATTTGTACAACGTGTCACATAATCTAAGTTTATTTTACTTTTGCGATTTATTTTAACTCATTATAGTTTTTGTCATATATGTGTCTTATATAACTTATTGTAATAACACAGTAAGAATACATAACTCATCAAACTACCACGTTAGTCTATTATATAACCAAAGAAGAAACAAAGCACCCTACAAATAAATAGATCGCACCAGAAACTAATCAAAAAGTGGGCTTACAAGGTTAATAGGTTTTGAACTTCAACTATTTAATTTCGTTATAACAATAATATTTAATTTTAAATTAAGGACAATTACTGATAAATAGTCAAATTATCAAATGGGTATTTTTTTTGTCAGTACCTATATTTGTTGTTCTGAAATCTAAATCAATTCTGGAATTTCAAGTGACTGTCACAATAATTAAGGTTACAAAAGGGATAATTGCAATATATATTAAATTTATCATTGAGCCAGCTTCATTACAAAAAAGAAAAAGAAAAATAAGTCAAATCACAAGGATCCTTAACGAAGATTTGAAATTATTCCATAAAATTACCTTTCATATCCGAGCCGTTTGTCCAAGACTTTGTTACAAATTTGAAGAAGAGAGCCTAAAATAATGGGGAAAAGAAAAAATTCACAAGGAAACGAATAACCCAAATTCAGACAAAGAGAAAAAGAGACCCGATTCAGTCGGGTCGGTACTTTCGACTTTTTGTGACGCATGTGAGTTAAAATTGGCTTTTGTCCGAACTCGTACGCGCCAAATCCTTATCTCTCTCTTTCTGCGTCGGCATTTGTGTGTCCATATATGCCACGTGTACATACACACTAGCCCTATACTGCTTTTTCCTCAAGGAACAACAACAATCGAAAGTCGAAACCAGTTTCAAGTTCGGGTCATAATTAATGGTCGGGTCCGAGTAAACAGTTACTGTATGTTTACGACTAGTCTCTAACTTTTCAGTCCACTACGTTTCTTTCTCCCCCACCTCTCGCTTTTCTTTCTCTCTCCATGTGACTTTCCTAAAAACAATGGCAACGATCATATCCCGCATTCTCATCTAATCCCGTTAAATCTTCTGATTTTTCGTTTTACCTCTCTCAACCCTAAATTACATACTCATTTTCACCTGGATTTCACTTCATCTACTGCTCACTTGTTCTACTCTAAATCTCGGAGTTTTCTAGAGAATTCTGCTCTTTTTCATTTCAAATTGCTTTGAGCTAAAGAGACCCACCTGTATTTGCATTCTGGTTACTCTTGTACTTAGTTAAGTGATTTTTTTTTGAAGTAAGTTAAACTATTACCACTGTGAGATCAATTGTGCTGTTGAATTGGGAATTTTATAGAGATCCGTTGTAGGTATCAATTTGGGTACTCTGGAGTGAAGAGTGGAGGTATATCAAATTGGGGGTTTTGGATCGGACCGGGGGAGAAACAGCGCCATTAAATGGCGCTGTTCAGACGCTTCTTCTATAGGAAGCCGCCGGATCGGCTTCTTGAGATCTCTGAGCGGGTCTACGGTAAGCTCCTCCTTTTCTCCGCCCAGAATTCTATAATTTTGTGCGTGCTTCAAGTATTATACTTGTTTCTACATTTTACTTGGACTTACTTTGGTCGAGCATATTACCATTTTGACATTTCTCTGCAATTACGGAGTCACTTATTAGCTACATTTGTAATTACAGACTTTCCTGTGAAAAATGTCTAAACCTAGTACCCTACATTTTAGTGTCTCACCTTGTTCTTAGCCTAAGTTAGCTTAGAAGGTGAAGTGAGTATATTATTTTTCTAAGTTGGGCCGCTATTGTGCTTCACGAACCATATTACTGGCAGTACGTCAGAGCAATAGCTTCTTCAGGTTGATAGTGTAATTATTGACGCTCTGTCTTCTTTTTGTTTGTACTCCGTACTTGCAGTGTTTGATTGTTGCTTCTCCACGGACGTGTTGGATGAAGATGAGTACAAGACATATATGGGAGGGATTGTAGCTCAGCTGCAGGACCACTATGCAGATTCTTCTTTCATGGTTTTTAACTTTAGAGAAGGTGATAGGAGGAGCCAAATATCTGACATATTGTCCCAGTATGATATGACTGTGATGGATTATCCTCGGCAATATGAAGGGTGTCCACTTTTGCCTCTGGAGATGATCCACCACTTCTTGCGCTCGAGTGAGAGCTGGCTTTCACTTGAGGGCCAGCAAAATGTCCTGTTAATGCACTGTGAGAGGGGAGGCTGGCCTGTACTTGCTTTTATGCTTGCTGGCCTTCTTTTGTACAGAAAACAGTACACTGGTGAGCATAAGACTCTTGAAATGGTGTACAAGCAAGCTCCTAGGGAGCTTCTCCATCTTTTGTCACCTCTGAATCCGCAACCATCTCAGCTTAGATATCTCCAGTACATCTCCAGAAAGAATTTTGGCTCGGAATGGCTGCCATCAGATACACCTTTTTCTTTAGATTGCATCATACTTAGATTTCCTCCTCTATTTGATGGTGGGAGAGGCTGCCGACCAGTAGCTCGCGTTTATGGACAGGACCCTGCTTCAACAACCTCTAATAGGAGCTCTAAGCTACTCTTTTCAACTTCAAAGACAAAAAAACATGCCCGCTTCTACCGACAGGTAATCCCCAACTTTAAAATGGTGGGACTTTTATGAAGAAGTTAGCTGAAATATGAAGTTGTCTGCTAACTCCTCACTGCAGGAAGAGTGTTCACTGGTGAAAATAGACATCCGTTGTCGTGTCCAAGGAGATGTTGTTCTCGAGTGTGTTCATTTGGAAGATGACCTAGTAAGGGAAGAAATGATGTTCAGGGTCATGTTCCACACCACATTTATTCGCTCAAATGTTTTGATGTTAATGCGTGATGAAGTTGATGTCCTGTGGGATGCGAAAGACCAATTTCCTAGAGGGTTCAAAGCAGAGGTCTGGTATTTTTTTCTCTGACTTTGGATCTTATTTCCCCTCTTTAATGTTTACCATGATATTGTCAGAGTTGAAGCATACTCATATATATACCAGGTGCTCTTTTCGGATCCTGATGCTGTTCCATCCACTGAAGAAGTGCCAAGTGAGGATGAGAATGGGACTGAAGGTGCTTCACCTGAGGAGTTTTTTGAAGTCGAAGAGATATTCAGCAACGCTGTTGATGGACAGGATGGAAGGGGGGAATCTGGACCCCACATTGTTAAGGAAAGTTTGGAGGATGATGATAGTATCGAAATAATCTGGAAAGAGGAGGTGGAACATCATGCATTTCAAGATTGTGCATCCGACGAAGTAAATCACAAGCAAGAAGGAAAGTCTGCATCAGAAACCAACATTTTAGGAGGTAGAGACAATTCTATAGCCTCCAAGGTTGTAGTTTCCAATGTTTCTAGCAAGATGGAATCAGAACCGCTAATGTCTGGTGATTGTGGCCCATCAGAAGATGGGGAGCAAAAGCAAGATAAGGAAGACACTCTGAAACAAAAGAAGTTGGAGAGGGAAGGTGTACAACAGAAGATGAGTGCTGATATTAATAAACAAAAAAGTGATAAGACAGTCTCATCTCTAAAGAAACAATCATTCTGCAACTCAAAACCTTCTGCTGATGGCGTTGGTCCAAAAAATAAATCGAAACAGCAGGAACCCCAGGGCACTGTTTCACGACAGGCAAAGCCAAATGCAGTGTCCCGGTGGATCCCTCCTAACAAAGGTTCTTACACTAATTCAATGCATGTAGCATATCCACCATCAAGGTATAACAGTGCTCCTCCTGTGCTTGCTCTCACCAAAGATTCTCAGTCTGGGGTTAAATCAAAGTCACCATCTCCTCGAGCTTCTTCAGAAGCTATAGTTTCTGCTGAAGCAGGGTGTGTTCCAGGTAAAGACTCCTCATGTCCTGCTACAATCTCTGCTCCTGAATTAGCTGACAGGCAGGCCCTGCAGCTTCATCCATCTTCTCGACCGCCAAGCACTTCATCTCATGAAACGCCTGATGCTGAAGTAGCAGGAACTAATTCATCATCAGCTTCTGCAACTCCACTTTTGTCTCTGCTGGAAAGCAATATTTTGACAGCTTCTTTTACTCTGCCAGCCTCCAATTCTCCACCAGCTCCGACCGTGCCTCCCCCGCCACCTCTGAGCACGNTCCACCTCCGCCATCAACTAGCTTGAGGATGACTCCGATGGCTGACTTTTCTCCTATCCCACCACCACCACCTCCTCCTCCACCTCCGCCCACATCATCCAGTGTATTAAATGTTGGTAGGGTCTTCTTGCCACCCCCCCAACCACCCCTTTGGTCAAGTGGAGGGTGTGGAACTTCCTCAGAAGTAGTATCTAGTTCATTGCCGCCTCCACCTCCTCCACCTCCACCTATATATGCATCTACTGTACCAAGATTGGCTACTTTTGGGGTTTCCACACCATCACCACCACCTCCTCCCCCTCCACCTCCTATGTGTGCTGTCTATTCTCCTCCTCCTCCGCCTCCACCACCACCTCCTCCTTTACTTGGCTCTTCAGCACCACCTNGCCTCCTTTATATAACGCTCCATTTGCACCATCTCCACCTCCTCCACCCCCTCCTCCTTTCTCTAGAGCACCAACACCACCGCCACCGCCTCCTTTGCGTGGCTCTGTACCCCCACCACCTCCTCCATTGCCTGGAGCTCCACCCCCTCCTTCATGGGGGCCTCCACCTCCTCCGGGAGGTGGCCCACCACCTCCACCTCCACCTCCTGGAGCACGGGGGCCTCCAGCTCCTCCACTTCCTCCTGGCGCTGGTCCTCCTCCACCACCTCCTCCAATACGGGGAGCACCACCTCCTCCACCTCCTCCTGGAGGTCGCGCACCTGGTCCACCTCCCCCACCCCCTCCAGGAGGACGCGCACCTGGTCCACCTCCCCCACCCCCTCCGGGAGGACGCGCACCTGGTCCACCTCCTCCTCCAGGAGCTCCAAGACCTCCAGGTGGTGGACCTCCCCCACCACCACCATTTGGCGCTAAAGGACCTGGGGCAGTTGGCCGAGGCCTTCCTCCCGGGAGAACGCAGGGATTTTCACGCACAACTAGTGGTGTAGCTCCTCGAAGATCTAACTTAAAGCCTTTGCATTGGAGCAAGGTAACTAGGGCACTGCAAGGAAGCTTATGGGATGAACTGCAGAGAAACGGAGAGCCTCAATTGTATGTTTCGTGCTTTTTGAAGTTTGTTATTGCTTGTACTTGAGTCTTAAATTATTAATATTTTTGCTTCAAATCCAGGTCACCAGAATTTGATGTATCAGAACTTGAGACTCTTTTCTCTGCTAATGTCCCCAAGTCAGATAATGCGGGTGGCAAATCTGGAGGCCGAAGGAAGTCTGTTGGATCTAAACCTGATAGAGTTCACCTGGTAATCAATGTGATATAATATCCTGTTTCTAGTAGGCCATTTGTAAAGAGTTCTGAGTGATACGGACCCAATTCTCTGTTCTTGTGGTCTTTCTGGCTTCTACTTGCCCGTTCATTTCATGTTTCTTTTTACCTGTGCCTTGATACCTGCTAGATGATTGCTTGTAGTTGCTTTACCTGTGTATTGGGTTTTGATGGTAGAAGGAATTATATTTTCTTCCTTGTTATATGCAAGTTTACTAATGTTTCTCCTTTTAAGTAATTCTTTTCTTTTCTTTTTGTTTGGTAGGTTGACTTAAGGAGGGCGAATAATACTGAAATTATGCTCACAAAGGTGAAAATGCCACTGCCTGACATGATGGTGAGTTTTGGTGCTATTCTTCAATCTTCCTTTCTCCTTTGCTTTTCTTCTCAAAGAGGCTTGTCTTTTTTATTTTTTCTTTCTCAACGGAAGTTAGACAAGGAGAATTTTTGGTGCTGTTTCAATCCAAAAAAAGAAAATGAATTTCTAATGCTGTTGGAATCCTCAGCTACACATTGTTAACTGAGATGCTTTGTAGTCTTACCAGGACACAAGGAAAGGTGCTTAGACCTTGTGATACTTTCCTTTCAGCTGTTAGGCTACCTGCATTTTTCTGCTTTCTCTTTTGGCTCTGTTTAGCAGATCATAAACAATATTGAAAATTGCCGGTTAGAGCCTGTTCTTTGTCTGGGTAAGCCAAAGGTTTGTAGAACCTGAAGTTAGGGTGAGAATGACCGCAGAAGTATGAATAAGGAAATTTTTTTCCATATGGTGTTCCTTGTGGATAGTTACTGGGCCATATTTGGTCGATCTAGCAGCTAGTTCTTACTGTACCATATTTGGTTGACCTAAGTGATATCTTTATTCTACATAATCTTGCTAGTTTGCTTGATGTTCTAAAGGTTCTCATGCTTGCTTGCTATCGGCTCACCCATTAAAGTGTGGTTGTTGGTTTACCTATCCTTACCTTATCAAAAAAATGAAGTGAGGTTGTTGGTTTTGGTCTGTAGGCAGCTGCGCTCGCAATGGATGAGTCAATTTTAGATGCTGATCAGGTGGAGAATCTTATCAAGTTTTGTCCTACAAAGGATGAGATGGAACTTCTCAAGGTGAGCTTACGCAATCTGCGGCTATTCTAGTGGCTGCAACTTTGTTTTCATGTTCCTCTTCCTCCTGTCTCTATTAATTGATCTTTCCACTCTTATTTCTTCTGAATATTTGCTATTACAACTGCTCAGAATTACACTGGTGACAGGGAGCTCCTGGGAAAGTGTGAACAGGTTAGCTAATCATATTCTCTTGCTGTCTCCCCAGTCCCACGACATCGTAGTTCTATTTCTTGTTAGATAATCCTCATTTGCAAGTTCCATTCTCTTTACGGTGATATGTTGCCATATGTATTTTGTTGTAGTGAAAAAACAGGGAAAATATCAGATTATTTTTGCAGAACCCGTGTTTCGCAATTAAAAATTGATGCCCAATAGTGCATGTGAGTTTTTAGCTGATGCGTGGACCTTAAATGGTGTAGCATTACTACATAAGTCTTATTTTAGGTTACTCGAGGTAACTGCCGTTGTGTTACAATTTAAAGTGGTGCACTCTGACTAACAAAAGGCTTCTTTTACCATTAACCAGCATCAATAAATGCAAACATCCCTTCTGCTTCTGTTTTGGCTGAAGAGGAACTGGAGTGGGTAAGAAAAGCATAAGAGGACAAATACGCTTCCTTCACAATGTTTAGCTGCAGAATACCTAACCCAACAAATTAAGAATTTTTTAACTGCAGAATTGTTCCTTGGTAGACCTATTTGCAAATTGGCTTTGGTATATGATTTAGTAATTACTAATTACTGAAATTGGAGTTCACCATCTTCTGCTATTTGATAAAGAAAGCATGGAAGGTAGATATTGTTGATTGCATGTGAGACTGTCTTTAATAGCGCAATGCTCAAGATGAGGAATGAATTAATGCTGAGTGAGGAAGGATCTGGNAAAAAAAAACTCTACTGGTATTGTCACTTCTCACCCATATAGTGTGGCAACTGAATTCCAGTTTAACGAATTTTGGCTGAGCTATAAATAAACAAGTAACGCAAAACCTGTCCCTCAATTTGACTTGATGTTTACATTTTTAGCTTCAACTTTGCTGAAACACTTGTACCAGATTCTTTTCAAAAGAATTCACAGCTGAGTTTTAAATTCAGACAATAGATGATAGGAAATTCCAATTTTTTGGTTGTAAAATCTGAACATTTTATCCTGTCAATTGTAATTTGAATCTTAGCTGTTATTGGTTCCAGCGGTTAGCCTCAAAATGTGCTGCTGTTTCTTGTCTGTGCCCGAAAATAATATCTTCACCAGTGTCTGGAAGACTTGGGATATCTTATGGTAGCTGTGGAGATATATATTCCTTTGGGGATATTTTCCTATGAAACCTTTTTTTTTTTTTTTTT